CCCTATTATTATGTTATCCTTCTTTTACTCTTTAAAATAAAAAATAAAAAATAAAATAAAATAAAATTCATCTCATTGCACAAAATAATTAAATTTATCCTTAGTGGTCAAGGAAGCTGATTTGAATTATTTACCAGGAACTAAAAAGTCTGCTTCAGTGCCAGAAAATCTGCTAAATTGGATGCTTCCATGAAATTTCAAAAACAATTGACAATTGCTGTATTGTACCTGGGGGAAAAAAACTATGACCTTCTTCTAATCCCACCATTCCGATTTTCCTGAGTAAAGGAAAGCAGGAAAAGGAAATCACATTCCCTGGGTTCTCTAAGTATAATGACAGAAATTCCAGTTAGGCTGGAAAGGATAATATGTGAAGCATTTTACAATTTATAAGTGGTTTCTTATCCCTGTGAAGTAGGAGTTAACAATTTTTAAATCAAGGAAGTTACATAACTTACATACAGTAGTAAATGAGGGAGCAAAGAGTCAACCAAAGCGAAGTGGGCCAGAATTTTCTCTACATCCCTCTAATCCATGAGATAATCTGGAGAAGGGCAGGGGGTGGGGGTACTTCTCAAAGTTATAGACAAAGCATTTGAGAAATTGTCTTATAGTTTAAGTGATAACTAACTCTACTTATTCGCCTACAGTTCTTTGGAGGCTCTGGATTCTCTTTTACTTCCACTGTAAAATGGGACTTCCCTCCAGGATCACCCTTAGGGTTTGGAAACGTGGTAGGCTAAAACTGGAGGGTTCTGCATAGGGAGTGTACTGCGGAATAACAATCTCGACACCTGGGCAGTTGTACAATCAGACAATGCAGTTTTGGTGATCAGTCACCGGTGTAAATAGAATGTTTCCATTTACCCCCTTAGGATGAACCCAATTCAAGTAGAAGAAGAGGCAGGAGAACTGAATAGAGGAAGTAGAAAGATTCATAGCGGGGAGTTGAGACATGCATTAGAATGAATGAAAAACTGAACCTCTGATTACAGAGATTTCTTTAAGGACAGCCTCTCTGTCTTCATACCCAGAATTAGTGAATGATACTAAATCTCTTGGGCAGAACTGATAGTCTGCTGACCCACGGTGAAATGGTAAGTCTACACGAGCAGTTAGAATATTGAAACACCTCCGTTCTGGTTGTTAAAAGAGCAGTGGGGGAAGGGCTCCAGACCCATCTCTGTTCTGTTCCAACAGCACAGCCAGTAGTCACCAAATTGATCTAGATCCATGCTGTATGTGTTACCAAACACTTTCACGGAATCACTGCGCCTCACCTTGATATTTTCCGTGTGTGTTTCTCACACACCAATGCTGTTGAATAAGTTAGCTGAGCCAACAAACACAAGGGAATTTGGCCACTATGAAGAAAGCTGACAACAGAGAAGCAGTAGGGATTTGAGCTTGGTTTCAGTCCAGGCTCGGTCTCTGAGCCTTAGTGTTTAATGAAAAGGAAGAGGAAACAAAGCTGCCCTCCTCTACCCCGTACTGATATCGTAATGCTTCCTCTCTTCTGCCACAGAGGTAAGTGAAGAGAAATACTTCCTTCTAAGCCCTCTGTGGAAAACAATGACCCATTCAAAGTACACCATGGGAACCCAGTCTGCTGATGTCCTGCTGTCCCTCAGACTTGTGGGGATCCAGAACCAAACCCTAATCCAGCCACTCTCGCAACAAGTCAGGAGGAGTGGGGGAAGCAAAGGTGAGTGCCTGTATCCTCTGGATGATTTCAGAAAAGGTCCGCCTACCTGAAAAGTTATCTTCCCCAATCCTAAAAAGTGGGCATCGAATGTATTTCTGCCGCAGTGATTCTAGCTGCATAGACCCTGAGGTGACAGAAGGCTGCCTGAAAATACCAATCCCAGGCAGCTCGCTCTAGGACTTGGTCTTGCTTCTTTGGGTTCTAAAAACCGTTTTCCTTCAGGGACCACACAGGAAAGCAAGAAAAGATATGGGCTCCCACCCGCTAATACCGTTGCATAAACTGGCTGAGGTCACAACAAAGGGATATAATTGGAAGCAAGAAAGCTTCTAGTAGAGAAGCGTCCCTGGAGCCGCAGGGATTTGGGGCTGGGTGTGAGGCCAGGGTCAGCCTTAAGCCAGTCACCAACCTATGTGAGCCAGTTTTCTTGTCAACAGGAGAGGGAAACGAAGCCCACTTATCTCCTCGTAGTGTCAGTGTAAGCTTTAGGAGAAGTCGGAGAGTTTTGATATTCTATGGAGCAGCACATGGAAATCAGTTATTATTATCTGGCAAAATGACACCATAAAGAGAAAAAATCCCAAGGCTTTAATGATTTATATTTCTTCTGTTTTCATTTTTATAAAGGTTACATTATATTATTACAAAAACATCACATGATTTTATGGAAAAGACCAAGATCCAGCTTGCAGTGATACAGAATAAGCATAAAAGGCTTAGTTTTGGGCAAAAGGAAGAGAACAAGAAAATATAAGTATTGCAGAGATGAGAAAACAAAAAGAAAGTGATCAGCAGTGTAAGTCACTCAGAAAGCAGAAGGCCAAAATTCGCAAGTATGTGCCTTGTTAAACGCGGACGCTTCTCTTTTCAGGGGTGAATTTAAGCTCGGGACAGCTTGCTTTGATTACACTGGCTTTGGGTGCTTGTCACACCCCTGATGAAGCCTTCATATATGACAATCACCTGCTCAGCAGATTAGAAAACAAATTCCAGGCGGAAATTAAAAACATGGGTAAGAGTCAAACGTTCAGTGACCCTGACAAACTTGTCCTGTCCTCCGTGGATTTAGAACTGTAGAAAGGGACCCTTCACCCTGTCCTCTCCATCCCTTTCAGCACACAGGCCGCCTTCCCACCTTCGCTCAGCAGCATCTGGAATTTCCTCCTTAATTGTGTTCAGCCGAGCATTGACCTGTATCAAGCTGCTTTACGTGTTTTTTGGGGGGTTTTCTTGTTTTGTTTTTCCCAGTACCGGGAATTGAACTCATGACCTCGCACTTGCCAGGCAGGCGCTGTGCCTCTGAGCTAAATCCCCAGCCCTGTTAAGCTGCTTTACATACGATAGCAGACACACACACACATCAGACATGGTTTAGTCCTCCACAAGCTCAGCTTTTAGATAAATAATGAATTATACAAGAAACAGCTGGACAAGTAGTGCGTTACAGAAGATTAGTAGTCCGTTATAGCGGTGTGATTAGTACCGAAGCATCCAGTGCTAATATAAGAGCTAAAGATGAGCGAAGTACTTTATCACTGGGAACTGTAGGTTGCCCGGGGGCTGGTACTGGAGCACACGGTTTTTACGTCAACTCCCCACCAGTACTTATCCTATTATTTATTAAGTCCTTCCGAGTCCATCTTCTCTGAGATGCCTCCGGCCCATGCCGCTTACTTACAGCATCAGTCTTACTGCTGAAGGGCTGGGGATCTAGCTCGGTGGCACAAGCGCCTGCCTGGCAAACTCAATGTCCTGAGTTGGATTCCCAGTAAAGGAAAAAAAGACTGCTAAAAATGTAAGAGCTTTGAAGGCAGGAAACCTGTATCCGGATTCCAGCTTTGTAGCTACCTGAATACTTGGGAAATGTCTTACTTTTTGTATTAGTGCATGTTTCCATTACAGTGATGACATTCACCATGGAGGGTTGGTGCGTGCACAGAACGCAGCTTCATTCCATTTTTCTTCCCTTTCCTCTCTCCTCCCTCCAGCCTCCATCCCTTGGTCTCCTCCCCTTCTATAAAAGATCTATATCCCTGTTTCCTGTTATCTTTCATTTCAGTCTTTAATGTATTTATATTTCAGGTTTCAAATCAGTATGGAGATTCCTCAAAAATCTAAAACTAGAAATTCCATTCGACACAGTGATTCCCCTTCTAGATATCTTCCTGAAAGGGTTAAAGATGTCATATTAAAGTGGCCCGTGTAGACCTGTGTTTATAGCAGTACAACCCACAATACCTAAATCTGAGAAGCAGCCAATTGTCCATCAACAGATGAACAGCCAAAGGAAATGTGGTATTCACACACCATGGAGTACTATTCTGCTATAAAGAAGGATAAACTGGACTGTCTCTTAATGTCTGTAGTGCTGTATCTTCTCAGTTATAAAATGAAAACAGTCAAGTTGAACTTGGTGGTCCTAGAGAGCCTCTAAATTTCTCAGGTTTGCTGATCCTCTGGGCGATCTCTCCCTTTTATTATTTTCCTCTCTTTACAGCCAAGTGGGACTAGAATAAGCATGAGTAGATGGAAAAGTGTGTCAGTCCAGCACCACGTGAGTGAGTGAAGCATTTCTTCTCCTCTCTCTCCCAGAAGCACACAATGGCAGTCCTCTGACTAACTACTACCAGCTCAGCCTGGGAGCCCTGGCCTTGTGCCTGTTCCATGGACGATACTCCACCACCCAAGTTGCTGAACTCTTTGCTCCTGGAAATAAAAACTATTATTTTCATGGCCAGTTCGTCGTAGGTGAGTCATTACCCAATTCCCTTGATACAGAGGACCTGGTCAATAGTTTCTATGCCCTTTGAGTTTTCTACCACAACTACTCAAGATTTTCATTTTTTAGTACTTTTTTTACCGTGCTCCCCTCAGAAGAGAATTTTCTTTTGGGGAATAATGGATACTGGGTGACAGCTTAGCCTCTTTATAGATATAGGGTACAGTAGAAAGATCTGATTCCTACCCTAGCTCTTTATCATTTTATCTGTAAAATAAGGATAGAGCATGAGAATATTTGCATGAAACATTTTAAGAAGTGTAAGAGTTCAGGAAAGTAAAATTCCTCCCTTAAGCATTGCCTTTGCCTTTGATTCACTGCAGCCCTCTCTCTGCATTTGCGGCTTCAGTAACGAAGTCCAGCAAGTCTGATAGACACAGAGTAGGTTCGCAGGGAGAAAGGCCAGTTACCCCCCTTGTCACCTTCACACCCAGCGAGAAGTCCCTAGACAGCCAGCACAGTGTCCAGCCCCTGGGGATCAAGATACGCAAGTCCGTTCTCCCTGAGAGGTTCAGAAAGCAGATCACCATGCGGTATTTCAGAGAGAACGTGAGATTTCTCATCCTCCTTTCCCTACGCGAGAGGGAAGGTGCTGTGCTAACCCAGCATCAGGCCAGTAAGGAGCCCCGGTCCTCCCTTTCCCCATCCCTCCCCTCGCCCTTCCCATCACCAGGACCGCTGAAGAGCACCGTTTCCCACTCAGTGTAGTGGACCGATTGTTCGGTCTGTCATCCCCAGTCTTTCAGTTCCTTTGTCAATCTGGCTGGAAGATTAGAGAAAGACGGAGAAGATAAGCAACCAGGGTCTAAAAGCGGAAGATTATTCACGTACATGCACTTACAAATCTGCGTGTGTTGTACGGCCATAATACGAAGTAAAGTACAGTGTTAAGTATGGAGCACACGGCAACTCAGCGTTGGGAAGGAATCTTGAATATCTGAGGGTTGGTGCTACAGGAATGATTGCTGTATCTTGACATCCTCCTCTCCCGTCATATAACCAACCACCCCAAAGTTTCCAGTTGTGTCATTCTAAGAACGCTGAAAGTCCCACAGCCCAGAAATCCCCTCAGTGCAGGACAAACTGGCACAGTTGGTACCAGTGTTTTATTTTCTGACAGATATTGGGGCAATGGCGGTTCTGGCTCTGACATGCATCAAGAGAGGTCTAGCAAACGGACAGACAAAGACAGAGAAAGAGGATCTAAGGAGCATCGATAATCATATACAGTCACTCGTAGATAAGATTTTGCTTGAGAAAAAAAGGAATGGTCTCATTGGAAATACATTTAGCACTGGAATCGCCATGCAGGTAAGTCAGAGGGTAAAGCAGAAAGACGAGAATGAGTCAGGGGTACCTTGATATAAGAAAGCAGTACCTTGATGCCTTCTTCTCAGCTCCCTGAAATCTTATCCGTTCTGTGTTCCTACACTAACTTTCACTGTACAGTTCCCCTCCCCATCTGAAATGTATTCTCTTCATCATCCGTCTTTACCTCTCCATAGCCAAAGCTTTTCCTAACTACAATTTTCTTGTGACGTTTGGAATCTCCCTATCTTTTTTATCACATGCGATTTCACCCTTTGCCATAGATGCTACTTTTGAGCATGCGTTGTTTCTTCCAAATTAGATGACTGCTGTAGAAGTAGCAAGCAGCAGGGGTAGTACAGAAGCTAGTTTTTGTGGGGCCCCATTAACTCACTAACGCACACAACAGTACAATAAGGAAAGAATTAGTACTCGCATCTCCTAGAAGAGGCGCCTCCATTACAGGGGGCCGGTAACTTGCCTAATTTACACAGCCACCAAATGCTGCAGGTGGGGATCCTGGAACCTTGACATTTCTCAAAACCAGTGCTCAACACCTACCTGCTATGCATTCCGACTTCAATTCTGCAATCATTCACTGACTTACTCAACTCCAAGAGGTGGATACAAGGGCAGAGCTAGGAAAGCTTGTTTCAAAAAAGCGCTGGCATGTTAGTATGAATAGCTGTCTGCCAGCTGAGTGAGGGCGAGGGGACTTTCACAGGAGAAAGGACAGCAAGGCCAAGACTAAAAGGCACAAAATAGCATTATGTATTTTACGACCAAGGGGCTCAGCAGAGCCAGCGTAGGGTCCTTGGAAAACACAGGACGAGTCTGGCAATGCAGGTGCAGCCCGAGGTTGTTTGTGTGTTAAATCTGAACTTTGCCATTCTGCCTGTGCATAGGATCATTTGATGGAGCTCTTAGGAAACACTAACTTCTAAACCCCTCACCAGCTAGGGGACGTAGAAGCTGAGGGGTGGGGCCAGAGCCCTGGTCTCGTTTTAAAGCCCAACAGGTGGTACTGCTGCCTGGCAGGCCTGACAGCCAGCTGCCTGTAAGACAGCTTTGAAGAGGATGCATAAAGGATCAGGTTTGCTTTTTTCTGAAGGTATAATAAGTGCTTATTGATAACTGCTGGGGTTTAAGAATCTTGAAGGAAAACTGAAAGGGAAGAGTGTCGTTTTCTTGGAAAATTCAGAACAAGTGCAAGCCCAGCCCACTTAGCTCTTGTTGCTTACTCCAACGCCCTTGGACCCTTTACAACCTCACAGCTCTGCCCCTTTAATTGAGCTAACACTCTGCTGCACGGACAGTTTCTGGCCAGCAAATGACCAGGCCCTCCAATGTCAGTCAGCTGATGCCAGACACCTCCTCCTGAGCTCCAGGCATTTACTACAATGGCCCAACATCCTTCGCCAGCCAGTTCTACCACAGATACCTCGAGTGTTCTCTGCCCGCCAGACCTCCTAGAGGAGGAAGAGTCCCGGGGGTTGTAAAAATGCAGGTACCCTCATCATCACAAGGCTCTGCCTTTGTCGTCCCCACACAAGGCCCTTGCTCGGACAGAGTCCCCTCATTTCACCTGACAAGACGCCTTCAGTCTCTCAATGCCCACTTCAGTCACCGCCTTCTCTGACAAAGCCTTTCCTTGGCCTCACAGCGTGTTTGTGAGCACCTCCCTCTCCTCTTCTGAAGGGCCGTGCCATGAGACGCTGCTTTCACAGCAGTCATCCTAGGACTCCTTTCTAACAGTTTTCCTGGTAACTACATTAATGATGGGCATTATTTTCAGGACAGAGAAGTGGATATGGCTGAGGCCATCTATTTTCATTGGAGCCACGTAGCTAATGTTATTAAGCAACTCCCTACCTGTGCACCCAAGCTAGTTTATAAGCATCTTGGTAGTGGAAAAGGTAACTTAAGTAAGGTGCCTCCTGTGTATCCACGTTCAGTAAATACTGAGTGAGACAGATGTAGCCTTGCGCCTCACTGGAAGGGTCTCTCATTCCCTTTCTCTCTCATCAGGCCCTCTTCATCTCATCAGACTATTACAAAGAAAGTAAGTGGAACTGCGAACAAACTCTAAAGACGGTACTCGAGGAGATTGCGCAGGGAGTGTTCAATATCCCAATTGCTGCGGCTCAGATCTTGCCTGCCCTCGTGGGAAAAACATACTTGGATGTCAACAGAGATTCTTCTTGCACCAGTGGCTTAGGTAAGAACTAAAGAGTGAGCTGTTTGGGCTCTCAGCATCATTTAACCCAAAGCACGTATGCTACAGGAATCCCAGTGGACCAAAATTGTCCAGGTAAGGAAGCAGAACAGTTGTCTGAATTCAGCTCCCATAACATCATCACCCGCTAAGGACTTGTTGCCGGAGTGCTTGGCATGCCTTTTGGTTCAAATACTGATAAACAAGGTGAACTGGATTAAATGATGTCTGTCTCCAAAGGGATGTCTTCCGTTGGATATACAAAGACCTGAGCACCAGTCTCACTCTAAACAAAGCACAGAAGTTATGAACCTGTTTCTCACTCTTCCTTTCTTCCTACTCAGTGACCCCTCTGGGAAATAAGACATCTGTGTGGAGGCAGTGTAGCGGTAATCTAAGAAAAACAAGGAATGGGTCAATTATGGAGACAGTGATTTTGCCACAGGGTACAAAGAAAGGAGACACTTCCTTTCACCTCTGTTCGCTCCTGATTGAGCCACTTACAAATTAGGGAACTTGAACAAAATGTTTCACCAGTAAGCTTCAATTTTCTAATGGAAAAAATGGAAACTGATAGGGGAACAGAAGAAGAGGAAAAACAAAAAAAATATTTGTACACAAGATAGTAAGATAGTTATGCAGCTAGTTTCTCTTAGTTCATTGAAAAGAAAGGTTTGTGCTAATACCGTCTGAATACGATATCATGCCTATATCTTCCACGCTAAATAACTACTATAATGACAACAATGCGTAATATATAAATTATTGTAACTCTGCAACTAACCTGTTTTGAAAGTCTGTTTTATTGTTATTTTCATTTTTTCTCTTCAAAGTAGAAAAAAATTTGTCAGCAGAAAAAGAACAGTGCCTAACACTGACGTTTTAAAGGGTTGAATGGAGTAATTCATGTAGGATTATGAGTACAGTGAATGTTAAGAAATTAAAAGGGGGAAATGCACAAGCGTTACTGGACATCGGTGAAACAGTTGCCTGAAAAGCTGGGAGTTGAGACAAACGGCAGCACAGGTGGTGAAGCCTGCTTTAGTCATGGGAGAGCTCTGCCCCGTGATTGGTGGTACTTGTTTCTTATAACAAATCCACCTCTCTTCAAAGGAAAGGACTCCTTAGATGTTGCTAAGTGTGCAAACTCTGACACCACTTTTAATGTTCTAAGTACTTCTCTCTGCTCTTCTGTCTCTGCCAGGTAACTTCGACATCTCCAGTCATAAGCCTATGTCTACAAAACCTCCTAACTCACCCTCAAATATCTCCATTCATTACTCTGTGAAAATCAATGAAATATATTCCACCACCGTCACTGTGCCCAGTGGTTCTGTCTTCCTAGATGTGATGGAGGAAGCTCAGAAAAAGAACGAGACTCTATTTGGGTATGTCTGCACATTACCTAGGGTTAAGACATGTACTACAATTTTGAAAGACTCAGCAAGAATACATCTGCACCCAAATACAAAGTACATTTAAAATACTTTGGGTACTTTTGCTATTCACTCACGTCTCATAGCCTGAGTTAAGAGACAAAAATAAATATGGCATGGGAAATAGACATGGATTGTGTCCCTTTTTAGTAAATACAACATGGAATATCAAATTATTTTTTTTCTCTGATCCTCTTTCCTAAGAGAAAATCCACTAACATGTTGCTTCTGGGATATGAAGTTCACATTTTTTTCTACTGCTCCTGCATCTTCAACAGTTAGTATCCTGGGGCAGAAGGCTGAAGCTGCTAACTGCAAAGTGTCTGTTTTAACAACAGTGGGGGCAGAGCCATGCGGTGCCACTAGCCAAGAGTGCTGAGTGCTACATCAGAATCACACGGACTGTTCATAAAGCATGCAGATTCCTGGACCCTGGCTGTGATCTGAGAATCAAATTATCTAGACATGGGGCCAGGAAATCTGTACATTTCTGTAATGGTGTCAGGTGATCCTTAGGTACATTAAAGTTGAGCAAGTACCCAGAAGGGCTTCAGTTTGAGAAGTCTAAGTTGATGCAACTTGTCCCTTGTCTCCCACAGTTTCACAGTGGAGCAGAGCTCGTGGGGCCCCTTCATCACTTCTGTCCAGGGCCTGAAGGCCAGCAATACTGACAGAACCTACTGGGAACTTCTGAGCAGCGGCAGATCCCTGAGCCAAGGTAAGGAGGAGATGTCCAAAAAGAGCACAGTGGGACCAGCCCAGAGCATTCAGGGCAGGAGTGAGCTTCTCTAAAAGAGACCACAGGGTCGGAAGAGATAGGTCCACTCTTTGGGAACTCCTTGACCGAACCACCTGACCCAGCTCTCTTCCTCCTTTTCAGGAGTTGGTAATTATGTTGTCCATGATGGAGAAGATTTGGAGGTTCGTTGGAGCAAATATTAGCAAACTCGGACCTACACCTAAAAACTGACCTTCTGTTTTCCTTTTCACTTATCCCAATCCCAAAAGGGCAATCAACAACCTCCCCACCTCTCTCCCATGTTCAATCGAAGATCCACAGCTATACAAAAGGAGCATGTACTGACCACATCCCTTTTAAAAAGGATTTTAATTTCCACAGTGGTTTCACCAATCTACACTCCCACCAGCA